AAATAAGATAAAACAGTCTTTATGATGGATATATTTCAGAAATTGTATAGAGATGCAGAGATGCAGTTTTCTTCAACGATGAAACTATTCAGATCCAAAATCATTTGGTGAAGCTCTTCTTTTGTCACTCCACTCTATTTCCAAATTTGGTATTTTTTTAATGGTCCAGCTAATTTGTTTGAATTTATACTTGTGCTCAGATGAAGCACGAAAATTTATGTTTATCGTAAAATCTTTTTATGCGATAAAAGGATTTCAGGCTGATGTACGATTTATTACATTCATTGCATGGAATGTTACAAATAACATTAGATTTTTGTTAACTTGGAGTAAAAAATTTTACTTTATTGTGTAATTTTGATATGGTTAGCACATTCGTTTTTGCAATTTAGTTTTTAAATACTTTTATATGAACATTGAATTATACAAAAAACAGTTTGAATTGAAAGAAATATATTTTTGGGAGAGATTAATTTTTGGAAAAGAAAGGTTTTGGCTTCCTACTTGTCCATCCTCAAGCAAAAAATGTGGGAATCTTCCAAAGAAAGGAAAAAATCAATTGATTTCAAAATAAACTCTTTACAAAGATGTGTAGACCATGCAAAGAAGTAATTTTCAGACACAAACAGGAAGAGAAGGCTCTTTTGAAGCAACTACTTTTATACAGTGTCTCACTTCTCATGGAAACGCCCCCGTATCTTCCGTAATATTCGAGGTAGAACGATGAAACTCTCTGAACTGATGGAAATGCTCAAAATGCACCTACCACCTGAATGGAGAGTTGCTGAAATGCAACTTCTGTAAAGAATATTTTAAAATGATAGGAAATATTGAAAAAAATTGAATGAATTTACCCAACTTTATTGATCAGACACAACACAAAGAAAGCAAAAGTCTTATACAATACAGTTTTGGATCTAGTTGTTACAGTAAAGTGATACATCACTTTTGGACATTAAAGTAAGAAATATTAAATATGAAACCATCACTATATGAAAGTTTGTTGTTATATATACAGTTAAGATACAATATCCATAGAACATTAAGCTAAATCATCTACCACTAATCATTAGTATTTGATACATTCCACTTTATCATAAATGAAACAAAATAATCTTATTTACTATATATCAATGATAAAACAGAAATCAGTTATTGTGGCAAATAATTAAAAATATTTACATGTACATAATCAATTACCGAATCATCATTCGGTTATGTTACTTTCGGAAAAAGGTACAAAAAATAATGATATAAAATTTCAGCAAAACTTGAATAAATTTAAATAACAGTTAAAAAAACTTTCAATTCGTAAACAAATAACCAAAATAAATACTGTAAATTATTTCTACACACTTATTTGTCAATATATTAACATCTGCAAATCTCAACTTATTTACATTATACCAACCTTTCTGACGAATGTATTACAAGATAATGGAAAACAGAAGTACCTTCGGTATTTACACAAAAAAAACAAAACCTTACTGGATCTCACTGGCAGAGAAAAGCAACGAATCAATACAACAACAATGTCCGAAAATAGGGATATATCAAGTAGACATAATTTTCAAAACTATTCGAAAAAGAATTGAATTGAAAGGGAACGTCGAGATGTTTTTTCGAAAAGGGTTGAAAAAATCTGTGACATCAAGCTTTTATATTTGATGAGTTCAAACACATTGGATACATTGGAATATCTAGAACCTAAAGATTTCTCTTTAGTCGTTTTTGTATGATATGATATTGAAGGTGCGCCACAGTAAAAAATCAACATATTTATTATTATAATAAATTGATGGATTTAGCCGTTAGTAGGTGGTAAAAAATCAATTTTAATAAACGTGGTAAAAATCATAGAAATTTTCATTTCTCCTTTCATTATTATTTTGATTTATTAAAGACTATTTATCTTCTACAATTGGCCGATATGATGAACCGCAAATCCATACTAAATTTTTATGGAGTCATTTGATAAAAAAAATGATTTCTAGTCCTGAAGTAGAAAATTGGTTTCATTCTTATGCAATTTTCTGTCAAGCGACCTCTATATACAAAGGTGATAAACTTCTGTACAGTTTTTGTGAGGTTATTTTTTAACATCAAAAACAGTGACAGTCATTCATTTTGCCATGCCACATAAATTAGTTAGTTCAAGGGGCAAAAAACATGATCAACTGTACAAGAATAAATGACCCTGAATCCAAACTCTGAAGTAAGGAAGTTAATTCACATTTACCACCCTTATACTGATTTACACAGCATGACAATATAAATGAGCCTTATTATATGAAACACTATTTTGCAAAAACCATACAAGAATTCATCTCTGCATATAGAAATCATTCTATCTATTGTAAATGATAGAAAATCCATGCAAATTCAGAATTCAACTGCAGATGTTGAAGTTGCAAATGGAATAGGACGAGTTTTCGAGCAAAAAGAATCAACTCACATTCAGGAGTTGCTTGATTCGCAAGATGACTTGACCAAAACCGACTCTGCATTGCGCTGACCTTGAATTTGAAAAAAATGAGTGGAGTTTAAAGAATGGCTAACGAACTCTGTGACTATTCTATGAAAATCGACCCATCTATGGAAAAGAGCATTATTTTTGAAAGGCAAATTTTTGATTGCAATTGAAAGATATTTTAAAAGCGATGAAACATGAAAAAATCACTGAATTCTTCAAACCTGTACCAAAATTGACAATAAATATTGATTTCAATTGCTAATTTATCAAAAAATTGATTTTATTGTAACATACATATTGATTTATTTTGGAACCTTGGAACGTATTCCCTCTGATTCTATACCAATTACCATTATACATAAAAATGTCAATTTTTGCCTTTTCATGCCAAATTTCATAATTATCATCATGGATACTTTTCCATGATTTTCACGTGGATAACCTACAACTGGCGGTCTGAAAGTGAAACTCAATTCATACTTCAGAACTATAGAAATCACATATTTTCAACAGATATCAAATGACCTCTAAAGTAAGGTTAGGTGGAAGAACAGTTTAGCAGTTATTTGCATAGCTGCAAAAATTGAACTTCTCTTTTTAATATAACTTTTAATATATAGTTAGAACTTATTACTGTGATTTTTTTTTTGTGGTTGCAGTAATAAAGACGTTTATTATTATTATTGTCTAATATATAGCCGATGGCTTTTTAATTTTCCCAAAGTTATCAATCAAAAGTTATCTCAACTGTAGATTCATAAACTTTCAGGTATCAGGTTAGACTACAATATGAATACATAGCCAAACTAACCAGTAATTTTCTTACTTTTTTTAGTCAGTTGATCTTTGGACTTGACTTGACTAAATATAATAAAAGGTGAAACTGGAACGTCTGGCACAGAATAAATCCAAAACTAGCACCTTTTTCTTTCACCAGAAATGCAATACTCTTCTCGATGCGCATTTTACCAACCAACTTGGCGTCTTCAGGTGATGAAGAAAACAAGACATCAACGTGGTTTGTGAAACGCGCGTCAAAACCTACTAAAAAAGTTCTTCGTTGCTTCTCGGTACCGCCAGAGAGGAAAAACCAACAGTAATATACATACATACAATAACCTTATAATAACACTAATTTCGACTAAGTAAATACAAAAATAATTCAGTCATGTTCGTATAATAATGGACGTCAATAATACAGCATTATTCAACCATAATTGATCATTTGTTCTGTGCTGAAATTAATCGTATCGGAATTTAAAAAAGTAATGAGGAAACAGCGGAAATGTCAGCTAACACATAATTATTCTATTAAAATGTAGACAATGGACATTTATATTCGAAGTACAAGTTCAATGAATTTAATAATATTATGTTCATTAGTATGGATTAATGTCATGCCTTCAAATACTGTTGAACAGTAAAGACAGTGATTAGAAGTATCACTGTACATTTATTATACACAGTGTCCCATTTTTAAAAGTCGAAATTCCAAATATATCAATTGATAACTTGTTCCCCATTCAAAATACGAATTTTTTTCATGAAATGATAGTGGATTTTCCAGAAGTGGTGTTCAGATGTCCTTTTGCTGAATTTTTATTTTGAAGCTAATAGAAATGGAACAACCAAATCAATGTGAAATCAACCAGAAATGCCAACTGTATGGTTGAAATTATGCTTGCCTCATATAAATAATAGCGCGATTTCATACATTTTCATGTAATTTCTTTAGCAATTGGCAAAAGAAAAAATGTCATCAATTTTGATTCGTTATTGAATATAAAAACCTGAGCTTCAATACCATGAAGTGGAATACTTTGTGTAAATGTCTTAAGTGTCAGTTGCCATATGTCGTTGATGTTTGTATTGTTCATTTTTGAGTTTTACTAAGACATTCCTCGAAAGTAACTAAAAATGTGGATTCGGGTTTCTGAAATCAACGCTACTAAAAAACCAGTTAGATGTGAAGAAAAGGTTTGATGAAAACTAGAGCACCAAATGTCAAAATACTAACCAATGTAGTTGTTATGGTGAGAGTGATAACTGACAGATGAGTTTGGATTTGGAATATTTTAATGGAAAATTGTGAAAAGGTGCCTCTGTCAGTTTCATGTTGTTTTGAGAAAAATAAAAACTCACTGAACTAAATAGTTTTTGTAACTGAAGAGAAAATATTATGTTATAGTTATCATACCTAGATGAGTATATGATATCTCTTATATTTATTATATAAATGAATTATAGTATTGAAAACTTCAATTTTTTTTTCATGTGTAAATCAAAATATTTTTTGTGCTCCATCGAGACACCTAATTCTGACTTACCTAAATAGTAATTAGACAAGCACTGATGACATAAATATAGGATGAAATCTCTGCCTCGTAATATGTGAGTACACACAAAAATTTCTTAAAAATCGCCTATCCGCAGCCTATCCGAAATTCTACCCGTTTTTGGAAAGGAGGACCTATCTATTAGCAAAACGAGTTCACTTAAAAAAAAACATTGATATTGTATATTAGTGTGAGATTTTTTTGGAATATCTTCCGATATTCTTCTTCATTTATTGGCCTCAGCAACTAAGGCTATCCGGCCAGTTATTAACGAGTTTCATTCATAAAAACCAATTGAGCCTGATTGCCTCCTTCTAGGTAGTCCTTTGAAAAAAAAATCTATTATCAAACAGTTGACTCAGTCGAATCCATCAGCATACAGCCTGGTTACTGGCGTATGGGGCCGCCAGTCGTCACAATTCTTCTTTCACTTCGATATTTTTTTGAGTTTATCAATATTTATTGATTTACATTTATTTTTTACATTTATTTATTGATTTATTTATTCATTGAGATTTTTTTTTAATATCTCCCGATATTCTTCTTCATTTATTGGCCTCAGCAACTAAGGCTATCCGGCCAGTTATTAACGAGTTTCATTCATAAAAACCAATTGAGTCTGTTTGCCTCCTTCTAGGAAGTCCTTTGGAAAAAAAAATCTATTATCAAACAGTTGACTTAGTCGAATCCATCAGCACACAGCCTGGTTACTGGCGTATGGGGCCGCCAGTCGTCACAATTCTTCTTTCACTTCGATATTTTTTTGAGTTTATCAATATTTATTGATTTACATTTATTTTTTACATTTATTTATTGATTTATTTATTCATTGAGATTTTTTTTTAATATCTCCCGATATTCTTCTTCATTTATTGGCCTCAGCAACTAAGGCTATCCGGCCAGTTATTAACGAGTTTCATTCATAAAAACCAATTGAGTCTGTTTGCCTCCTTCTAGGAAGTCCTTTGGAAAAAAAAATCTATTATCAAACAGTTGACTTAGTCGAATCCATCAGCACACAGCCTGGTTACTGGCGTATGGGGCCGCCAGTCGTCACAATTCTTCTTGCACTTCGATATTTTTTTGAGTTTATCAATATTTATTCGAGTTCAACTTCCGTAACAATTTTGAAAACCACATTTTTTATCGAACTGAAGACCTCGTCAAATACGTCGACATCCAGCCTGGTTACTGGTCCTTAAAATACTTATTTCACTGCAATACTTATTCAAACCCAACTTCATTTTTGGACCCCACTCTAACCACGACATCCACGTGACATATTTAAGGACGGTCGTTATCGGTACAACTGTCTTTGTCGCGATCGGAGAGGAAGTCCCTCTTGGTCTTATAGAGACTGAATTGTTTTTGGCATCAAAACCTGGATGAAATCCATTTCTAAAAACGTTTTATTCTGATTACTTGACAGATTTCAATTTGTATTAACTTGATTTGATTTTCACAACTTCAAGCTCATTTCACTTTTTCTGGGAAAATCTCAAAACAATAATCACCTCATCACCAATCCTCCAATTATTTAGATTAATGATTGCATCAAATCATAAATAATTTTTGTGCACCTTTTGTAAACCATTTATGAAACAAGCAAATGACATTACAAAATACTGGAAATCTATTATTATTTCTTCAAGAAATATGAAGAAAATCCCTGTCTTTTCGAATACTTTTTCACAAATGGGACACTGTATATATTATTCAAAAATATGCTCACTAAACCCTGAAAAACTATAAAGAGGCAAAAGCTTTACAGATCAACCGCAGTCAAGTAGACGGACCATGGAATAAACTTCATCTCTCTTTGTCCATATAAGTTATAATACTCATAAAAGCATCTATAAAAATAAAATAAAGGAAATATTTGTCGTTCATCATCAATGAAAATGAATATAACTACTGTAGTTACATAGATTCCCAATAAATATGTTGACTCCTAGATATTCTGCGTCCTGCGTTGTTTGATTCAGTAGATTTTCGGAGCTGATCTGTCATTGGTGGCTTTAGCTCGTTTCAACGTTGCTCCACGTTTGATCTGATCCATCAGAGACTCGTGGCACACTTTGGGATCAGGCTGTAAAAAATAATTGTTTCTGTGGCAATAAATAGAAAATAATAATGCACTCTTGAACAGTGAATAAAAAGTATGGTGAGTTACTTCAATGGCATGAAATGGAATACAGTGTCTATAAAGTAATGCATGAATTCATCATCAGCTGAATAAGAAATATCGTTGAAAATTACTGAAATAGATTGATTTTTGAATGATATTCAAATCTACAAGTTGACCTATATTCAAATAATGATGCCATCACTGGGCTTTTGACACAGAATACACTATTTGTTTTTTATTTTTCAATTTAGCCAAGTCATTTATATATAATAGGAAGATTGATTGGCCCAGAACGGACCCCTGTGGTACCCCAAAATTCAATTCCATCATTTTTCAGGACACAGTTAACATGAGTTGACTGCATTCGACCAGATAGTAATATAATTTTTCAAATTGTTCATTTAGCTAAAAATAAAAATATAGATTACTTCATGGACAAAGTGTATACAGTGCATTTCTTTAATGCCCCCCCCTTTTATTTTTTGAACGGGTCAACTTGAAAAATTGAAATTTGGGATGATGAAAATAATGCATGAATACTTTATTTTGAAGTAAAATTGACAGATGAAACTTTCAAGAATTAAATGGAAAGGGGGTGACACATCTTTTCGAAGCTCCTGGCAAATGCTTCACAATCCTAGAATATAATATCAATATCTTCAGCTACTACAAAATGGCGGAACTTTCGATGATTGCCTGAATACATTGACATTTAACTACATAATATAAGCTTGGTGTCAGTTCAGAAGATGCTCGAAATGGTTGCCTTGCACTTCTTGACATATGAACAGCGTTTGCGACATTTCTTGCCGAACATTCTCGAACACATTAACGTCAATATCTCTACACATATTTATAATTCTCTGCCGTATATCCAATATTGAAGCAGGTTCAGTTTCGTACACCTTTTGCTTCAAATAGCCTCATAAAAAAAGTCGAAAAGTGTCAAATCTGGCGAGCGGGCTGGCCATTCTGTAGAATTTTTTCTTCCAATGGACGAGTATTGACCATTTTAGAGATTGTTGATGTGGTACCTTTCTACTAGTAAAACCGAAAACTAAATGAGAATATTCTAACTGAACAATGATGTTCATTGTCGTACTGACATTTTTTGACGTTTTTATAAACAAAAAATAACTTAACAAACCTTATTGGGTTGTTGGAATTGTCATATGGCAGATAAAAAGGAATATTTCTAGACATATCGATATTAATGTGTTTGTCTTCAGGAAATTATTAAATGTTCCGCCATTTTGTATTAGATGAAGATATTGACTTCATATTCTAGCGTTGTGAAGTATTCGTCAGGAGCTTCAAAATGATGTGTCACAAGACCCCCTTTCCATTTAATTTTTTTCCCAGATGGGCCCAGTCGCCATCTTGAAAGTTTCATCTCTCAATTTCACTTCAAAATAAAGTATTCATGCATTAATTTCATTATCGCAAATTTCAATTTTTTGAGTTGACCCGTTCAAAAAATAAAAGGAGGGAACATTAAAGAAATGCACTGTATAAATAATTGATCAGCTTGAAATCTCAATTTTGTTAGGCCTGAAAGAATTCGATTTCATGTATGTTGTTTATCACATATTATAGAGGCTCTATTAATAGCATAATGCATTTTTTCCTTTAGACACAATGTCATAACAGTGTTCAGTTGCAGAAGGAAAATGATAAATGGCTCTCAAGCAAAAAACGTGTAAAAACAAAAGCGAACTCTATTAGTAATTACTCAAGCAAAACAAATATCTGATTTTGAGGATAAATGTAGTTTTAAATTTAAATAAAATTGTAGCAAAAATGTTCTTCTAATGTTATCTAGAAAGCAATGCGACGAGTTTTGTTAAGCTTATTATCTCAACTTCCACCAAATGTTCTTCAATCTAAATTTTTTTCCACCTTGTGGTCACTTAAATCAACCAAAAATCAAACTGCAAGCTATTCACACATATTTTCTCACCTCTAATAAAGAGCAGACTTTAAAATGTTTCATCATAGTTGCTATGCTGAAAAATTCAACAGTTATCTTGGCTGGTATACAAAACATTTATAAACATGTCAACAGCACCGTTCTCGATGAGTTGTTTAGATATAATACAATTATTCGAAAATGATTTGTAAAAAACAAAATTTTGTTCGACGTTATCAACCTTTCAGAGGTAGCGTATACATTTTATAATACTGACACACTGTTAGATCAAAGTTCAACAATTTATTATTTCATTTTTCACAATTTGGGCTCTTTCTAAGTTCTTTAAAAAAATCTGTCCGTTTTATTGTCATGTGTTTTTGTACTTCCATATCTTAATAAATATTTATTCTATTGTGTCTTGGTATATACTGACCCAATTTGAAATTGGGTTTTTTGGGTATCAATAAAGAATATACTTTATTCTCTTACGTTTGTATACAGATTGTTTCCTATCAAATAAACGGCTTGAAATTTCAATGACTATTTCTAAGAAAACCACATTAACCATTCAAAAGCAAAGTGTAGTTTTTTGAAAAATATCAAATTCAATTACTGATTTTTTTCAATTTCTGCAAATATAGAAAAAATTATAATCGGTGAATCATACATTTTATTATTTTGTAAAACCCATACAAATTTTATTGATGCTTACCTGCGCTCTGCTATTGATAATCTGCCGGATTTTGTTTGCTTTCAGTTGGGTAGTTTGCGAATTACCGATATTTTGATGGGAAAGTTTGGCATTCAACGAATCCAGAAAACTTTGACCTGGACCAATTTTTTGCTGCGCATACTTATTCATGGGAGCATTGACACCGCTTTGGTCCTCGGAATGTCTCCTCGAAGTTCTCGGGCTGAGCTGGGGAGCCAATTTGGCGCTGAGCGACGCTATAAAGTTTGAACCCACACCTCCTGGACCTATAAAGACGGTGGTTTCAAAAATGTGATCGTACATTGCTTCAATACTAAAAAATGATAATAGATGGTCTTCACATAAATAAGGGGCAATGATCTGGTATCCCATTTATAATTCTCACATACAGCAAATTGAAGCTGTCTAAGAAAAGTTCTTGAAATTCTTGTCTTTCCGCATTACAGGTACTTACCCCCAAAAGGGTGAACCAATTAGATATTATAGTATGGAATAGAATAGAATTTATTTGTCATTAAACATTTTACAATTGCATTGCATAACATGACACATAACATTTTATCAGACTAGTCAAACGTGAGCACTAGGCTATATATAAAATATAAATAGATACATACATGTACATTACAATAATAAAAGAAAAGCATCTTATTGACTTATATTAGGAGATTAAAAATTCTTGCACAGAATAAAATGCATTCTTTGCTAGGTGACTGTATAGTATCGATTTAAATGTTTGCAGACTGCATTTATTTCCAAATAGTTAAACTGCATGATTATCATTGAATATCATTGAATACACTTTGACAATCGCAGTTGCAGTCGCATAATTTATTGAATAATAACCTATCTTGTGCTCCGCTCCTACAAGAAATAAATTTTCATGTACCCGCCTCAACTCAAGATACGAGAAAACATTTTATTGTCAGAGTAGTAGAACAAATGTGAATCTCAGAGCACCAGTGAATATAAAGTGTGACTAAGAATTTTAGGAACCAGTGACACCTACGGCCTGAAGACTTCGACAATTGCGGAACTAGCCAAACGTCACTCCCATGCTCTTTCCCTAAAAAGATGGGATGGAATCAAAGGATGCAGTCTTGAGGATCACCCTGGGCGACCCTGGGAAGCTGGCGCTGAAGAAATATCTGGCGATGACCAGGAAAAACCTTATGCGAGTATCCGGAGTTATCGTCAATAAGAGAGTGTGTGTTCGGCGAGTCTTGGCCTACAGACTTCCGGTCAGCGCTCTGCGATCTGAAATTGTTGAATCGTCTCAAAGCGTTCGGACTACCTCCTAAAACTTGGGAAGGCTGGGCATACACCACTCCCCCTGACTGCGATACATATGCCACTTTGGCTTGGCTTTGGAATGTACTGAACCCTGTGTTCTGAGGTTGAGGGTGTGGCTGCACGTTCTGGTACAGATTTTGAGAAGAGGAAGACATTCTTCGAATGGAGTTTGGGCTGGCCGGCGTGTGTTTTAGTTCAGTGAGAGCTTTGACGGTTTCTGCTACGTTTATTCCTGTAAAAAAAATGGATTTTGAACAATAATGATATTTCTTAGCCATTCTTTGCAGAAGAATTTGGCGAAAAACTGTCAGAAAAAATTACTTCACAGGCTAACACGATGATACATATTGATTTAAATTTCATTTATGTATGACCAGCTTCTTAAAAATACCGATGACTCAAAATAACAATGACAATAAAATAACTAATACTCCTCCTACTACATTTTTTTTTTCGAAATATCTGCACATATTATTCCTACATTGTTTATCTTACAACATAATTTATATTATGTACTACTTCTGCTAGTCCTACTACTGACAAGTGAACTATAGTTTTTACATTATAACTATATTATTTATTTGGCCCTGTTGACTTCTTTGAATTATTTTGTCATAACAAAACATATATTTCATGTAAAACTCTACTGAAAATGTTCAAGGTGGCCGCCGAAACTATTTTCTACTATGAATAGTATGACTGAAGTTTAATACTATCAGCTGAACATTATTTTTTTATCCCCTGATCAAGTATATGGGTTATAAATTCTGTTAATTTGCTTCATTCAAACCCACAGTTTTATTTGAAATTTGAAAATTCGTGTGGATATTCCTCTCGAATATATGATTCTCAACATTTTCAGAGCTCAGACTAAACCAGATTTATGAAATTGAAATCATTTATGCATTCGGCAGAATGCCCGAATGAATCACTTGTTAACACGAATTATTATTTCAGGCCATTTAGCTATTGTTGCCATAATTAACGACTGTTAAATTGTGACTGCATTGGTCACTTTTTTCCCCACAGTAAAAATTACATTTTGAAACTCAATACTTAGTACTCATTCATAATTTTGCTCCTATGATTAGAGCTCGTTTTTGACTGTTACATATTGTAGTTGTTGCAGTTGTGTTCTGTCACAGAGTGTTATATAATTTGAATGTAATATTTTCCGTTTGGAGAGAATAGCCTTCGGTACCGATAGCTGTAAGTTCATTACTACTTTCATTGTTTTTGAAATGGGATCGGATTATCCTTTATTAGGCATACCTATATGAATAACTTTGATAACCTTCTGAATGTTTACACCTTACTCAAAATTTCATTACCATAACTCTTTTTATTGAGATTTGGCCGCTAAATTCTGGCAAGATAGAAAATATCTGAATATAAGCTCTTGAAAATCACTGAGGAACTTTTTCCAAGATAGCATCTTTATTGATAGCCAGACCCCATTATTTTCAACACAAGAAAGCTCATCAATTCAATTTTCGAAACCATGTCACGTGTGCCTCACATTTTTCAGTGATCTTCACTATCTGATTCCGCCCTATTTGCTTTTCCATCAACCCATCGAAATAGTTAGTCATTTTTGAAAATAGTTCATCTATATCGTAGGTTCTGATAAATCGGAACCAATTCAAGAAATGGTGGCCAAATAACAGAATCAGATAAAAGAATGGTTCTTAGCAAACAAACTTTCTCTTAACCAAACCAAGACCCAAAATATGAAAATTTCTCTCAGACTCCTACATCCAGATCTGCCAAGAAGTGATGAGGTGAATCTTCTTGGATTAATTATTCATAAAGGTCTAACATGGGAAAGAAACATAATTCAAATATTGTTTAAGCTCTCGAAAATTACATATATGATAAGATCACTTGTTAAAACTGTATCTAGAGAAACTATAATGCCTACTCATTATGGTTGTTTTTATTCAAACATGACATATGCTGTGCTGAGTTGAGGTCATTCTTCCCATTCAGAAAAAATTCTTATGCTACAAAGGAGATGCATCCGTATTATTATGAATCTCAAATATCGCCAGTGCTACAGGTATTGTGGTGCTGAGCCTAAAACACTAACATTTCCTTGTGCATATATACTAAACTGCATTGAATATATCTATAATAATAAACAAACATTTTTTAACACATAATTATGAAACACATCATAACCAGGACATTATGCCTGAATATTACAGAATATGACACTATGGTGTACATCATTTCAGTTGATTGCCAGTGAACATAAGACTCCTTGAGGAGAGATTAATTTTCAAAAAATCAAATACTATTGTATTCAACTCAATGAACAAATTATAATTCTGCTTATTTTATTTATTAAACCGTAGTTTTATGAATGTATGACAAAAATTAACAACATTTTAATATGTATAATGTTTCTTTCTTGATTTGTAAAAGCACGATATGTATTACTACCAATAAAAATTGAGTGATTGATTGACTGAAAACAAAACAACTACTTCCCAAGCTGATATCACGTTGGATATTGAAATATATCCGACAGTAAGTCTCGCAGATGTTCCTCATTCATCCAGCAGCAGAACCATGCTGAAATTTTTCGAGTAGATCACCTACATAACGGGTTCAAGGTATTGACTCGAGGTATTACCTCGAACCCAATATGTACCTCCAAGTAGGCTTTGATTTTCAACATGTAGTTTCTTTACTGATTAACTGTCATCAACCCAAGTAACTTTATAAATTGGATTCTAATAGGACAGATCATCGTACATATATAATGATAATAATAATGTAACATAACTTCATTCAGAATATATCTCAAAAATTCTCATAGTGAATATTTCTAAATACCTGGCGACGGTTGTGGTTTAGACTGAGTAACAGGTTCCAGCAAAAAAGCAGGTGGTGGTGGAAGATGTTCTAGACTCCCCATGGAAGACGATGTGTTGGTGATAGAAGATGTTCTTCGTATCGGCGGCGGTGGTTTTTGTGTCTGAACGGAACTGCGTCTCAATAGAGTATTGCGCATTGTTGCAGAACCCATAGCTATAAATGAAAGATGTATGTTGAAAGAAGTGAACTGTGATTTTACTGCAATTTTCTAAGAGTGTGGTAGGCTTCTTAGCAATATTCATCGATAATCATAGTTATTTAACACTAAAATAGCGGACCAAATGCCGCTTATTTCGATTAAATTGATGAAGTATTCACTGATATATAACAGTTTAAAATAGACTAATAAAAACGGACAAAACTTTTGTAACAATCGATAGATAAAGTGACTTCAGGCTCGAGAAATTACTTCTTTCATTTCAATCACGTTTCGATTTAATTTTAGCTGGCAGAATATTAACCCTTATAAAAATGTTTGTCATAACTTACAAGTAGAAAAATAACGTTAAAAAATAAATTATGTGAAAAACAAATACCTCAATAATGAATCTAATAATACATAGCAGTTTAATAAAATTTTTCATTGAGAAATTGTCTCACTGCTTTCGCGACTGTCCACAGACAGATGTCTGTATGAATCAGTTGCTGCATAATGTGGTCATAAAAAGTATTATATTTAAGTATACTCAGATCATGGGTATTTCTAGTTTCGAAAATCATGTCATTTGAATAATTCTCACAGTCACTTGAAAATTTACTATTATTTTATTCGATAGAATTGTCTGATACTTGATGAATATTCTTAATATATCTCACTTTATTCTTCACTGGATAAATTACTAAACCACAATGGCTTTCTCATGCCATATGAACATGCCTGAGGAAGCTAGTGTGTGGTGAAACACCTGTTGGGGTTTTGTGAACTGTTCAGTGAAAATCTCACAATAAAATGTTCTTATATACTATTATTATATCCATTAAAACATACCAATTACTGAAAATACAGGTATTTATGGAACTAACTTTTACAAGATGTTGTATGGGAGAGTCTAAACATAGATTTTTATCCAAAAAGTTTTCATGAAAAAAAAAGTAATCAGGGAGAAAAATGGTTTGGAGAAGTTATTATGCTGTCATTGCTGAATATTTTCAATTAATGGTATTTTTTTCTGAATTATTCAGGAAAGGATATATACAGATAGATAGATCTTCGTTACTTTATCACCTTGAAAAATGAGAAATAAAACTTCCTATGTTTTTATACCACTTGTATTGCTTTATTTGTGGCTAGTGAGGGAATGAAGTAGATGGATGTAGCCATTACTACGTGGTAGATCATCATGAAAAATGAGAAATAAAATTTCCAATGTTTTCATACCACTTGTATTTATAACTAACGTTTACTCATTTGAAAATGTCCTTATAGGACGAGACTGCAGTAACTTCCGTTACAAATACAAGTAGTTAAAAATATAGAAGTTTTATTTCTCATTTTTCATGATGATCTACCGCATAGTAATGGCTACATCCATCTACTTCATTACCTCACTAGCCACAAATAAAGCAAGGTTGTTCGATATCTAACATTCATTTGAACATAATATTGAACAAAACAGCAAAGGAATTATGTCTGGATAGTAAAATCAGAAATAATTTAGAATTCGGATAAGAGTTTTCAAAACTCTTGAATTTTTTCTCAAATAGAATCCTAGGAGTGTACAGTAATTTAATCACTGAGAAGTCATTACATTATATCTCACATATACCAAGTTGGACTAGTATGGAAGGATTTGTGGAAAATCTCGACAGGCTTATGCGGAGCATAAGCCTGGTCGTCACCGACATAATGCTTTCAACAAGCAACTACGAACTGCCTTATAGTCCTCATCCCTAGTAAAAAGGATGAGATTCTCCAGATCGAAAAAACACCTTCAGGTTCTGGAGCAGGTGTATATAGTCGCAAACTTAGGTCAGAAATATCGATCTTTGCGACCCTATTTCAAGCAGAAATCTACCCTATTGATTTGTGCGTTGAACGACTGACAGAAACCAAGCTTGCACTCAAAACAATAAACATATTTTGGACAGCCAAAAGGCTATGTGAATGATGAAACAGCAAAGCACATAATTTTTACCTGTCTTGCTGTGGACCTGATCAGGTTTTCAGAGTTTAATTCTTGCCATCTGACCTAAAAGATCGCTTAACAAATAAGCTGACCAGCTTTCTCAAGAAGCTGAGCTCATTTGGCCCAGGTTGAATGAGAGTGATCCACAATAAACCCTTCGAGTCTAAAGTCGATGAGCACTTTAGACCTAACCTAATCGAACAGGTCAGAAACCCAAAAATATGTCAGAATTAGTGAATATTCTTCCAAAGTTTCAGACTGAGCTCTATAATGAACGTTTTATGTTAAGGAAATAATAAATAGTTTTTGATCTTCCAATTATTATCTATTGAAAGTTAGACAAAAAAACTAACTAATCCAAATGTTTGATTATTTTAGTAAATTATTGGTACAGCAGAGTCTACCAACTTTTCTGGTTAAGCATTCTAACACACAAAAATTATTTGATTAAAACAAACATGTTTGTTAACTACATATAGTATATTGTTTACTTTACCTGTCATCGAGAGAGGTCTTCTTCTGACGGCCTCAAGAAGTTCGTTGTTGCGGGGGAGCGTGCAATACTTGCTTGCTGTACCATTAATATCTAATAACACACACTAGTGATCACACACATGCTCAAAAACAATGTTAAATTGACGTTGCTTAGAAATGGTTGAATGAAAAACTTGACATAATGGATTTAAAGTGTTTAATTTTTGTAATTTTGACATAACACAGTCACAATGCAGATAAAGTTATCTGACCAAAGTATTATATCTAGTACCACATAATGAATCGAGATAACCATCAACAAATAAACTGCTCGTAGGTAGCAAATGGTACAACTTCTTCTGAGATTCAATAAAAACACTGGTTATTACGACACATCCCAATTTCTGTTTTGATTATTAATACAGTGAAAGATGACTGTGCTAATTTAAATGAAATGAATAAAAAACACTTTTGTCTAAATACCACTGTTACATTTTATTTATACGACCGGTTTCGGGTTTGATCCCTGGTTTTATACTTGATAATTATTATCAAGTATAAAACTGGTTTTATACTTGATGATGGGATCAAACCAGAAACCGGTCTTAAAAACAGTGGTATTTAAACAAAAGTGTTTTTTATTCATTTCATTTAAGTGATCATGAATTACCATAAAGTAAACAAGTCATCAATCACAAATATTAAACTGTGCTAATTTCTATACAGGGTGGGCTATCAGCGCGAGGAAAAAAACAAGTTGGTTTTGTTTGAAAGGAGGGCAAATTTGGATCCAAAAATCAATGCAAAACCATTCCAAGTGGAGGGGTCATCACCCAATTTGTTTTGAATGGATATGGGGGTAGAGTGATTCATTGAAAAAGGCTTTCACTGGAAAACATAAATAGATTTCACTCAATCAGTTATAATGTTGATCAAGTAAATGCTGGGAATTTTGTCCGTCAAGCTACTAACAATAAAGGAAGTTATTTTTGTGACATAATATTTCCTTCTCGAGGGTCTTTCAACAAGTCTGGTAGAGTGTCGTTTTATAAGTGCCCTCCACAACAAATGCAAAGGATTCAAGTCAGGCGACCGAAGTGGCCACACATTTGCACTCTGTTGTATCTAGTAATTCGAATCTATTATTTAAATGATTACGAATATTTTATAAGAAATTTGAAGGAAATATAATTTCCTCTTCAATGTATGTAGCATCATTCTTTATGAAATCAGTGAGAGTTGGAGCCAGGAGAGAATTTTCAAAAATAATCAGTAATGGCAATTGCAGAAATTAACCGAACCATTTGAGAAACATATATTAAAGAGAAAATTATCGCCGCCATTGCTCATTATAAGTAAGCTTTATCCTTTTGGTTACATCCTACTTGTGGCAATTCATCTGTTTGGTCTATGAATTTAGCCAATGATTTGTTAAAGCAACTTTTTGAATAACAAAGAATAAAACAAATACATATAAGGCGTCCAACGTGCATCAAGGATATTAAAGATTAGTATCGATATTTGATGTTCTTCAAATAATAGAGATAACCATCATCCCTGTTAGGAATATCATGTTAAAAGATGATACCTCGCCAATCTTTGACATAAATTTAAACTTTTATGAAAATAACAAGTGATTATTATTTGTTAAAAATATATATCTAACTCAAGATCAAAAACAAATTCAGAACAAAAATGAGTTATTACCTCGTAATAAAAACAATCAAGTCTGATCAATTCTTATTTATTTATTTATACACGAGCAGGCCCAATTCAAATACAAATATTATAGTGCTACATAGAAGTCGATGCAATATAGTGGATTGAAAGTAAATTATATAATTTTTTCATGTCTCGGCATTAGAAAAAATGCTATACATCAGATCAGGAAAATAAGTACATTCATTAAACCATTCTAATCACACATAAGTTAGACACATGTTATTCAATGGGAATTCTATGAAAAGTAAGTTATAAAAGACATGCTGAATATCAGTTAACAAAGCATAGTTTCTCACCTTCCAAATGCTGTACGTCTTCGGTAGTGAAAGTCGTCTGACTTCCGTAGCCACTCGATGATTCTAGAGAACTCTCGCTGGTGCTACTTTCTTTCTCACCTTCGTTAGTCTGCAAAAAAACAGCTTAGTGTTATAGAAGGCCAATTTTGTTATAATTCTTATCCAAATGAGAAACTGAAAACCAAACCAATTTTTTTTCAAAAGAGGGGTTATATTGCTATAAAACTGATATTTATTGTTACCATGACAGAATACATGACTGACTGTTATGCTATTAATTATTACTATTTTATTATTGGATCTGCCTTGGCTGTAAATCGAACAATTTTCCTAGTTGATCCAGATGGAGCAGAAGCCTGTAATCCCCTCCACCAGGAAGAATCTGGGTTATTTATGACCACTTTTCCTCAATGTTAAGGTCATTCCATTTGCAGGCTCAGGAAAAGTCTCCTAGTGTATAGAGACAAGCTTGCCTGCCTATTTCTGGGTACATCTGTACCACATCATCAGCAGACATTGAAATTCTTCTAGATCCACCTTCTTCCCTCGACATCTTTCAGGAGATAGAGGCTCAATGGACACCATTCAGATTTATGTACATTGCCAATTGCACAAAACAGGTTCATGTAGAACAGAGAAGACTACTGGTTGACACTGAAAGTAACAGCATTTTGATAATAAACTCTTGAGTCAATACCTCCAACAGACAACTATAACCTGCTTTACACAGTTCTAATCCCAAATAAAGAGGATATCATCCTCTAGGAGGAGGAAATACTCAGAGCAGATATGTTGGTTGACTGATGGATCAAAAACACCCTAAGATTCTGGTCACAGGGGTATTAATCTACCTAGGGACTTATGCGCTCATATCCCAAGTGGAAATCTCCACCCTTGATTTGTATGTGGAGAGATTGGCGGAAACCCACCTCACACATAAATCAATAAACATATTCTCAGACAGCCAAGCGATTTTGGATGTAAGTGGATCTCACAGAGCAATGTCCAATTTGATAGTCAACTGACAAAAAATGAGAGATGTAATGCAAGAACTATATTAGTATTAGAAAATTTCTGAAGAAATAACCTACAAATTCCACGACAACACTTTACCTTTTCCGGAGGACTTATGAAATCTGAAGGAGGCGGGGGAAAAGACTTCTCCTGAATTTTATTCGCCGCCATGTTGGCCAGTTCGTGCATGTTGACGTAAGTGGGTTGTGGTGAATTTTTGGACAAGTGTGTTGGCAACGGGGATGGTTTCTTCATGACCGAAAGTTCAGCGCCGGGAGGCAGCACCCTAACACCCTGCATGCCAGCAATAGTTTTTGCAGGTATATTTGGGCCGCTTGGACGTTCCAAAGATGAACACCTCTGAAAGAATAAATGAAAAGTAAGAACAACATCAACAGCTTCTTCATTTTCCTATAAACAACTCAAATTTCGAATAGTTGATTGGGCTCTTGATATTTCAGGGACATTTTGACTAGGTTATTAGGTTATTGAGGCAATGAATTTTTACATATGCCTCACCAATAGCTAACAGAACATATACTAATATACGAGGGTGGTGCCAGAAGTACCCAGCCCAACAAAGAAAACACAAAAATTTTGTAAAAAAATATTTATCTTTCAACATTATCTTGCAGCTCTATACACTTTTCTTAGCGATGTTCAATAAGTTCGATACCGTTTTTATAATAAGAACTGTCTTGATCCTCAAAAAAGTCATTAACTGCCGAGCCATTTTCTCATGTTTTGGAACAGAAAATAATCTGAGGGGCCTAAATCTGCCGAATATGGTGCATGAAGTAGTAATTTGAATTTAAATTCGTTAATTTTGGTCATTGTGATAATGGATTTGTGAGCTAGTGCATTGTCTTGATGAAACAACACTTTTTCTTAGCCAACTGCGGCCGGTTTTGCTTGATTTCTTGCAATAAGTTCACAAAATACTCGCCGTTGATAGTTTTATCTACATGAAAATAGTCAATTATCCCACACGCATCCCAAAAAACCTATGCCATGACCTTGCATACAGATGTAACGGTCTTCGCCTTCTTTGGAGCTAGTTCTCCTTGTTGAGTCCACTGTTTTGATTGTTCTTTTGTCTTGAGTGTAAAATAATGGACCTATGTTTCATCCATGGCTATGACATGACACAGGAATTCTGCTTTGTTGCTGTGAAACTTCGCTAAACACTCAATTGAAACATCTTCACAACACTGTTTTTGCTCGAGTGTGAGCAAACGCGGCACCCATTTAACACATAGCTTTGTAAAGGCCATATTGTCAGATTATATACGATGTACTGCACTATTTGAAATGCCTACTAAGTCTGCTAGCTCGCGCAATTTCAGTCAATGATCATTTAGTACCGCTTTATGGTTTTTCTTCACCGTTTCTAGAGTCGTCACCTCATTTGGTCGACCACTGCGATGCTCGTCTTGGCAGCTCGCACGGCCTTGTTTATACTCTGCTACCCATTATTTTACTGTTGTAAACGAAGGAAAAGCTCGCCCAGAGTAGAATCCAGTTCAGCTTTCATATTGATTGGGCTGAGGCCTTTCAAATAAAATTATTGTATCCCATACTGATGACCAATTTCCTCCATTTTCACAAATTAACCGAAAACGTTCGCTATTGATGGCTGCCAAACAAATACTAAACAACCCAGCGTCTTCAAACTTAAAACAATCAATAAAGCAAATGTTTCATAATTTCTAACAAAGTGATATTTTTCAAACTACCGCCAACTCTAGGTCAGGCTGGTTAATTCTGGGGTCACCCTCGTAAAGCATCTTTTTCTTCTAAAAGTGAAAAATGAAGACTAAACAGTTAATCTTTGTGTTCAATCAGAAGAGCTCCTGTTTGGATGATAGCTATTCGGTACATTGAAGAGAGACAGCTAAGGAAGCGTGAGTCAGAGTCCAAATTTGGCAGTTGTTGTATTACTATGTCATTGAAAAGTTTCATGATTTCGAAAGTAAGTGTACCTACACAAATAGTTGTTTTTACAACTAAAAAACTACAAGAACCTCACATTTTATAGTAAGTGAATTTTAAATCATAATAGAAAAAACATTTCTTACCATAGGTAGCGGTGGTTTCGATACAGATTTAATGGATGACACTGGACTTTGTGGTGACAGAGTATTCGATGTTGTGTCTGTTGGAGTTGTCGAAGTGACAGGGCTTGCAGGTTGCGAAATACTTTGGTCAGGAGCTTGGAATGTGTAAACGGTCAAAGGAGGTCTCTGGTGACCTTTTTCGTAAGCTGTAATTTCATCAAAAGGGTGAAAATGTATCAAAACAGAAAATAATAAAGTAAAGCATCTGAGTATCTACTTGAAGTACCTGTTGATATGGTATGGGGCCTCTCGCTGATGATAGCAGAAGCTGCTCTTTCAAATTGAATTGTCTCCTGTAAATTCGGCCATGTGGCTGTTGTTGTGGGAGCAGAGGTCACAGGAAATGGTGTGCAAGGTGTACTTGAACTACTACTGTTGTTGCTGTGTTCTGACATGTTGGATACCTAAAAAATAGATTCATCATAAAATATTTGAATGAAAATCATATCATAAAATTATAACAAGCTGATAATGAAAAAGTACACAATAAAAATCATGGTCAATGGATAATTTCGTTCAGAAATGAGATGGTTAATGTAGTCAACAAGTTTACAGATTTATGTAAACATCTCTGATGAATATCAGATTTATATTAAGTAGGATTATTATCAGGGTGTTAATTGAGCTAAGTACCCCTACAGTTTTTCTTACCTGAGCAACACTGAATGAAGAAGGTGGTCTCGGATAAAGAGTATCTTGTGAAGTAAATCCTGAATCCTGACTGGACACAGATCTAACACGCATTGTACCACTACGACCTACAGGCTGTTTACCGATATAAAAAGAAAACAAATAAAAATGAAATAATGCACAAATAAAACGTGTACATAAAAATGAACAAATATAAATAAAATATGACCATGCTCAAGATGTCAAATCAAGATAAGGGTAGAGGAAAAAACGTTTGAAATGCCTTCTCAAAGATGAGTTTAACAGGCACATTAGTAATGAACAATTAAATTTTGAGAATGCCAGAGTGCAAAACATGCAGTGTAATATCAAAATAATAATAAAAAACATAATTTTATCCATACACAGTGTGTTCAAGATAAGGAGGGTCAACATTGGAAAATAGGAAACCATGCAATGTACAAAGTCAGTTAAAAAAGGTAATTTTAGAGCTAGCTCAAATGACATTTTCAAATAAAAAAAAAAGATTATATGTGATACATCAATTTCATTGTCCTCAAAAAGGCAAACTTTGAACAAATTATTTTTTTCCCTCCATATTACTGCTGGTTGACTTTTCCAAAGCATTCGATACTAATCATGAACTGCTCTGTGCTAAATTGAGATTTTATGGTTTTGATGAGTCTTCAGTATGTCTCATATGGACGTTTTCTAAAAGCAATAAATAATGGATCACAATCATTTACTATTGATTTACTTTTTGGAGCCTCACAAGGGTTTGTATTGTGTCCCCTGTTTTCATTATATATTGATCATCGTAAAGAACAAACTTTTGCAGATGCTATTGTCAGGTTTTGTATTAAATATACCACTGCAGATATTATTAACAAGAAATTGAACTAAATGAAAAAATCTAATGAGCACAGGTGAATAATACTTGTACTTTCACTTGCAGTTCCACTTGCAGATATGGAACTGCAGTACAATGTACAATTTAAAGAGTAAAACAAAAAAACACACAAAAAGAACTATCAGAGAAAAACCATTGCAAAATTTTCAACTTTTCAATTTTGGGTATCATCCCATAATGTTTTCAATGGGAATAAAGTCATTGCAAAGGACTTTTGATTCCACATCCATTATTGTTCGGTTTTTTGAAAATCGGTTCATTAGTTTTCATGTTGTATAGCTTTGAAATTTTAACAACATGTTTTTCAAAAAAATGCAAATTGATTTCAAACGAAAACCTACCGATCTAGATGAATGTCGCTGTTCTATTTCCTAGTGGCGTAATTGTGTATATTTCAATTTTTATTGAATATGTGTTTATAAGGATGGAAATATATTAACAGCTTGTATAGGTAAATGCCCGAGCAAATACTTTGAAAGTATTTCTACAGTATTCAAAAAACACTTCAGTTTTACAAAAACGTAACACGTGTTTCGCCATACAATGGTTTCTTCGGGAGTGTCTTTACACGTTATACATTTTCATCAAGTATCGGTCAATTCTATCATATATGTATTCCTGCATCCGGAAAAAACGTGGTATATCGATGGGCTTTCAACATACAACAATGATACAACTGATCCACGTTTGCTTTCATCAATGAATAAGATGGTTTTTCTTACATAGATATGGTTAACTCAACTTTGTTGTTCAATTCTTTCTGTTATGACAATAGTAACTGTGGGCTGGTATTTCTTCTTCTTGGAATACTTACGACCGAACTCTCATTCATATCATAGATAATAATCCTGCATACACTAAATAGGACAACAAGATAGTGCTTCTCTACATTACTCACAAAATGTGTCACAACAGTTTTATAGACTGCTGAATAAAAAGACTTGGAATTGAGGGAGAAAGAAATATTTATGTAAAGTCAGTATGATTGTTTGGTTTGAAGATAATCTGCATTATTATATGTAGGTTTTCAGACAACATTTCCAGCATTTACTCGAGTAACACTGAGAGTTTTCAAGTAAAACTCGTTTGATTTCTGCATTTATCAGAAAACATATCATTGCCTATTCGAACCTCCATATCTTTTAAATGAACGGACAGATTTTGAAATACAAAGTAGTAATAGATGGAAAACCAAAAGCCCCCACTCAAACTCAATTTCTATTAAAAAAATAAACACGACATTGCCGCTTGCAGAGTTGAAGACAAATAAACACGACATTGCCGCTTGCAGAGTTGAAGACTTTGGAATGGTTTTTGGGTCAAAACTTGTCCCTCTTACAGAAAAACTTGAAGTATTTTCAGATTTTACGAAAAGTTCTTTTTCCGACATTCCTAGCTTGTAGAACATTTGCGATGGCCGACAATTTATTGATAAAATAAATGAATGAAATTCTCTGTAGAATGTACAATCACTACAACACACATCTATCTAAAAAAAATCAGAAAATTCACAAGAATAACATAACCTCGCTAATCAAACTAACAAAAACCATTCCGCAAACAAAATACCACCTCAATCCTCACCTGCGACAAAGATCGCTGCCACGGATGACTCGGCGAATGGTGGCTCTTCGAACTGCTGGATGAGGAGCTGTTGATTGAGCTGATTGAGCACATCGACGACTTCCTGGATCCGAGGCTCGACGGGGACGACGGAGGCGTCTGGAAGGACCAACCGCCGTCGGCGCTTTTAAGGTCGGCGATTACCTGCTCCGAGGCGGGGGGTAAAGTCTGGGGGTCTGAAGAGTGCTTCTCCAGCTGCTGGACGGCTTCTTGGAGGTGACCGATTTCTGTCAGCATGGCCACTTCTTCGTCCTTGGATAAAATAAGAATTATTATCATTAGGTTATCAATACAATACAATTTACTAACGTCAATCAAGATTATACGTTCAGTATATAGATATAAAAAAATGCATACATCTGTAAGACTAGCCCAGCACCTAAAACTAGAAGACAGAAGTACAGATTAAAATATTTATGAATTCTCCAGGAATACAATGTGTACGACAATAATAAAAGAAAAGCATCTTATTGACTTATATTAGGAGATTAAAAATTCTTGCACAGAATAAAATGCATTCTTTGCTAGGTGACTGTATAGTCTCGATTTAAATGTTTGCAGACTGCATTTATTTCCAAATAGTTAAACTGCATGGTTATCATTGAATATCATTGAATACACTTTGACAATCGCAGTTGCAGTCGCATAATTTAATGAATAATAACCTATTTTGTGCTTCGCTCCTACAAGAAATAAATTTTCATGTACCCGCCTCAACTCAAGATACAAGAAAACATTTTATTGTCAGAGTAGTAGAACAAATGTGAATCTCAGAGCACCAGTGAATATAAAGTGTGACTAAGAATTTTAGGACCCAGTGACACCTACGGCCTGAAGACTTCGACAAATGCTTCAAACGTCACTCCCATGCTCTTTCCCTAAAGAGATGGGGTGGAATCAAAGGATGCGGTCTTGCCAGGATCACCCTGGACGACCCTGGGAAGCTGGCGCTGAAGAAATATCTGGCGATGACCAGGAAAAACCTTATGCGAGTATCCGGAGTTATCGTCAATAAGAGAGTGTGTGTTCGGCGAGTCTTGGCCTACACCTGCCGATATAAAGGAGATGTCTCCAGTCCGCCTTCCTGGAAAGGACAGCATGAACGATGACCTAGGAGGACAACTCCTCGGGAGGATGTACAATGGGTCACATTTGGCATAAGTGCTGTGGGCCTACACTAACCCTCCCTACTCTACAGATACAGATATAATGTGTTATAGGTAATTTCAATTCAGTGATCTTTATCAAGGATTGTATGTTATACAGAACCTTTCATTTATAAAATTATAACATTATAACGTAATATGTACTAGATATAAACTGTATGTACCAGATGGAAAAACTATTTTCACAATTTTCGATTTAAATTTTTGTAGGACAATGATTAAACTAAAACTAAAAAATATATAAACAAATTGAACAAATTTATAGTAGCAGTATTGCTGTATTACGCTACATCAATTAAATTTGAAAACTGATTTTTTAAAGATTGTAATTTTGATCCAAATATGTCTGTCTATGTCTATGTCTGAGTGATATATTTGCAAGTATTGGCACTTGATTCACCAGAGCATGAAAGGTATACTTAGTGTGATAGATAGCTGTGTGAGAAGGTTATATATTTCTAGTACATTTCACAGAAATACTCCACCCAAACTCTTCCAAAAGTTCAGGAATTAAGCCAAGATTTCTGCCTTAGTGCTGCACACTGGTATGATCTTGAGATTCGAAAGTAGAGAGGGCGTCACACTCTGTTGAGATTATCATCAATATTATTATTAAATTAGTGGTCTCGCCCATCATGTCTTAATCTTTACATTCAACTTTCCTTGCGGTGCCATGTTATACAACTCAAAATGGACAATGGGAGATTGTGAAAACCACAGACAGAATTCATATTCCTCTGTACTTATCAACTTGTCCTTTGGAAGGATGGAAAGTTTTTAAATTGACACCATATATACTTTCCGAAGTAAAAATTGAATGGTACCACAGACTCACCTTCAGACTTCCGGTCAGCGCTCTGCGATCTGAAATTGTTGAATCGCCTCAAAGCGTTCGGGCTACCTCCTAAAACTTGGGAAGGCTGGGCATACACCACTCCCCCTGACTGCGAGACATACGCCACTTTGGCTTGACTTTGGAATGTACTGAACCCTGTGTTCTGAGGCTGAAGCTGTGGCTGCACGTTCTGATACAGATTTTGGGAAGAGGAAGACATCCTTCGAATAGAGTTTGGGCTGGCCGGCGTGTGTTTCAGTTCGGTAAGAGCTTTGACGGTTTCTGCTACGTTGATTCCTGTAAAAAAATGGATTTTGAACAATAATGATATTTCTTAGTAATTTTCTGCAGAAGAATTTGGCGAAGGACTGTCAGAAAAAACTACTTCACAGGCTAAGACGATGATACATATTGATTTAAATGTCATTTATGTATGACCAGCTTCTTTAAAATATCGATGACTAAAAATAACAATGACAATAAAATAACTAATACCCCATGGGGCACTCATGTTAGGAAAGCTACCTTTCCAGCGTTGGATGAGTAACCGCCGAGGGCTCTTGCGAGACACCTCTCCCACACATCTAGCTTGAAATCGGCCAACGCCTGTTGCCCGCAGATGCGGGATAGGGTGGTTGACCGATAACTTTACTGGGTGAGTGCCGTGTGGTCTGCACCGGGAGGACTGTCAAACACCCATAAGAGTTTCAAACACTTATAAGATCGCTCTATATCGCTCCGTACTTGACAACTTGACTCGACTATCTCGATTAGCACGTGGGTAGTGTTTATATATGGCAATCGAAGGATCTCGAAGGCGGTAGAGAATTCGCTGGAATTCCATCGAAATAATGCGATGCGAACATCGAACAAGCGCGAAACGCCGGCTGGGACGCCTGCGTTCTTGGCCACGACACAATTGATTTTCGACGGCCAGCGGCGGCCGGCTTTATTTTTTAGGGATTATTCACAACACACACAATATTTATTGTTCAATTCATTCATTGAGAAATAACTAAAAAACTGAATCCAAAATAATGAAATCATAAACACAATTCTTAAAGTAATTAAGTTATCTACGAACGACCTGATATTGAAAAGTCAACTGAAAAAGTTTTTGATGAACTGAATTTAGGCCTGGAATTTATGATATTTTTGTAAATATATTCCTTGAAACAGTTATATAAATGTTGTTCATATTCAGATATAAGTCTGGATAATATCACTTCCTACAAAATTACAAGATGAAAAACATCATACAGTTTTTAGAGAATTCACCATACTGGAAAGTAACCTCTAGAAATTAACCACTACCCAAAAATATATTGATGACTCTTTGTGAAACAACTTACCACCACCGGTTTCAGAAATCCAACGAAAGTACAAAATCTGCCTCGTTCTTCAACAAGAGCTGCTCTTACGGCATGCTTTTCGGTTTCTTCCAACAGCTGACGTCTTTCAGTGACGTCTTGCAAACCGCATTCGAACCGTTTTTGTACGTCGCCACCAGCACCTTTCCGCATCTTCTTCTGTAACCTCAGCGTATCTGTAGATCTTTTCTTCAGTTCAGCTCGTGCCCGTTTGTAATCTGAAACGTATAAGAAAAATCAATATAAAAAAGCACCATTGGATATTTTTTTGTGGACAAAAGTACTATGAGTCTGCATGGAATTACACAATAAAAAAAGATTT